CGAAAAAAGCACCAGTTGAAACTTCAATTATGTCTTGTTGTGTGTACATGATGTGTGAATGAAATGATGTAAAAATGGAGGGAGACCTCGAAGGGCAGAATATTAGATGGGCCTGCGTGCCAAATTCTTAACCCTTAAGAAATAAAATTTGTTCATTTATTTGTTCGTTCGTACATTGCTCCTCTTCCATGAAGCTTTTCAGTCACAGTTCATTAAGTTAATTTCTCCATAATATTGACCACACCAGCCGCTCAGTTTTTGATTAGTCTGCAAATTATATGCGGTCAGCCCTCTATGATCAGTAAGTCTCCAGGCAGGTCAAGGGTACATTTTCCGGTACTTTTATTTTATTAACCATATTTGTATATGCAGATATAAAACAATACAAGGGCCCTTTACTTTGAATTGATTCAATGATCTCCCCATCCTTCCTCCAAATTTACCCCCTCTACCCCGCCCACTCTCACATATACGCTTAAGATACTTTCCTTCACAGCTTTCATTGCTATCTCCATCCCATTTCCCTACCCTTCCTCAAAATCCCCTCCCCACCCCCGTGTATACCCTTTACCTTGTGTCTATTCATCTCTCTACCTCCTCCTTCTCCAACTTTCACACATAAATACCAGATGTGTATACCCTTTACCTTGTATCTATTCATCTCTCTACCTCCCCCTTCTCCAACTTTCACACATAAGTACCAGATGTGTATACCCTTTACCTTGTATCCATTTACTGGTGGCTTCACTCCTTCCTCTAACTTTCATACAAGATACCAATTTCTCACAAAGTTTACTGTTTTTGTAAACAAATATTTCTCAGCAACACAGAATATTTAATGAGCCATTTTTACAAACAAATACAAATATGAAAAATAAATTGAAATCAAATAAAATTGATGCAATTTTTTAACAGGTTACAATGAACAAAATTTTGTCAATAATCACAAGAGTATGTCATTTTACAGATGTTACATTAAAATAATCATTACAAGGTAGGCATTAATGATGAATCACAAGAGTATGTCATTTTACAGATGTTACATTAAAATAATCATTACAAGGTAGGCATTAATGATGAATCACAAGAGTATGTCATTTTACAGATGTTAAATTCAAATAGTCATTACACGGTAGGGATTAATGATGAACAGTTGTATGCAGACTGTCAGTTCCTCACTTCTCAGGCAGTTACAAGACAGCAACTTAGCCATGTGGTCAACAAATTAACATTAGGTAACCACGCGTAATTTCCACACAGAATAAGAATTGGGACTTTTGAACTAAAATGTTACAGGAATATTCTCACGGGTCCAGAAAATAAAAATACTGACATCTTTAATGATCTGAATATCAAAGGCGGCCGGCTCATAAACAGCATTATCTCTCATAAACTGAAATACTTCAGCCAGGTTAGACACTATAACTGTTTGGAGAAAATAGTAATGGTGGGTTTATTTTCTGGAAGAAGTAAGGGGATGACCAGCAAGCTGGCAGACACAGGCTATCAAGGACACCCTTGGAATTTAGGTTCACGAGGTGGGAAAGTTGGCAGGGGACTGGAGGGTCTTTTGACATACCAAGATGAAGGCAGAATAGATGAAGAGATTGAAATAAGAATCCAACAATGTCACTTTTCAACTGACCCCTGTTTTGAAACACTAGCTATCGGAATAGAGACAAAAAACAAACAAATTATAAATGCAATCTACATTTATAGCAACTGTGTGCTATCAGTGTCAGACTTAGACACTGACTTAAGAATACCAAAGAAAACTGACCACCTGCAAAATGAGATGTTGAGAAGTACCATGAACAAAACTAGAAGAGACCATGTGAGAAAAAAAAAATATTTTAAGAAGTATTTTAACAAAATCTATAATTAAATTAAGTGACAAACAAAGAATGAAATAGTTTTGCCATTAAATGAGAATGAATTCAATGATGTCAGCAATAAGAGTGTACAACATGAAAGCATAAACATAAGGAGGTAGAAGTTAACCAAAATGAAGATAGATTTTAGGAGTCACTGATACCTTGAAACTCCACAACATACCCAGCAACAAAATGTGCCCTAGCTCGGATACCTATCATCAGTTAACCTGCAATGCCTAGCGGCCCAGAGCAAAATATGGACATAAGAAAAAGTGATGAGATGACATTCTGCAAAGAACTGCTAAATGATGATGATTGCACATAAACATACATCTGAATTTACAGATATGAAGCAGATAAAAACCTCCGAAAAATCAGCAAAGAAACCCGCCATTTGATTTATTTCAATCAAGCTGGTTGATCAACAGATCATCACACCTGCACATTAAACTATTCAGTCCATAGGTGCTCAGATCCCCTCTTCAGTAAATCCATCAGACTTTAGCGGCTTAGAGCATGAGTTCAGTTTTGGGCTATTATTCTTCTTTGGCACTCATGACCAGCCTCCCCTCATTTGACTTGCTTGCTGTTCTTGCAAATCTGATCATCATTTATTTTATGAATTGTTTTATTCCTCACTACATCAGCTTGGACCAATGTTGGCCTGCAGTCCTCAAAACTCTTGTCAGCAAGCCTATCAGCTTGTTAGTTTCCTCATCTACACTCACATCCTGACAAAATAATGAAACTTGTCATCACACTGCCTATCTCATTCCTTGGTTTCATTCAATTTAATTTTTTTTGAGTAGTAGCAGTCAAATACACCACTACTGGCTTGCTAGGCTCGTCGCACGCCGGGGCAGGAACAAATCATACCTGGTTGGTGCCCGTCTCCTTCGAGGCGAGCCATTTGCACCTCAAGCCACCTGAGAAGCACAAGACAAATACAGAAATCCACGACACTGGGTTACAATTTGGTCACAGTGAGACGACTAAAGAAGATTCCTTGGTAGCCTTTCAGGTGTTCTTGTCTTTTCAGTTCTTGGTGTTCTGGATGAGTTCTATTGATAATATTCCTCTCAACCTTCTCAGACAAGCCATTTACAAAGGTTGGCTGGCACACTGTGTTGTGGTTTGTTTACAGCTAGACTCTGACATATGCACCTTTCCTGTCATCATAAACTTATCCATCTTACCACATGAGCATATAAAATGGTCTCATTAAACTTCTGTACAAAGATCTAGCTAATTAATGAGCAGGTTCTTTACAAAATATCAATGCAGACCTGAAAGTCTGTCTCTAGCCAATTCTCCAGCTCTTATGTTCTTTCAAAGCCTCTACAACTTCAATGTCCTGTATCCATCTTCCTCAGCCACTGAGGAAAAAGACTGCAGCTTTTGAAATGAAATGTTACAGAAAACTTCTTAGAATACCAAGGATCAAGAAGAGGAAAAATATCTACATTCGAGTTAAACATTAGGGAGAACTGGCTCATAAACAGCATCCTGTCCCGAAAGTTGAAGTATTTTAGTCATATCAAGTGTCATTGTGGCTTGGAAAAGACGGTAAAGGAAGGGTGCAGTTTGTCGAAGGCGAGGAAGGGGTCAACCACAGTGAAGATGGATACATGAGCACTGACATTGAAAGCACATGGGACCAGAGAGCTGGCTAAGGAAAAGGGATACTTTCAGGCATGCCACGAAGAGAGTGACATTCTGTAAAGCACTTGCTGATTGATGATGATGATCCATCTTCATTCACAGAGGTCTGCCTAAGCCTTTTTTTTTTCCCCTTAGAAAATGTACCTTCCATCACTGCTCTCTCCAGGCCACCATCAGTTTAAAAATACAGTCTTTCATTTGCTATTTCCAATCCCTGTTCTGTTATTTACTCTGACTGCAACATTTATCTCAGCAGCAACTGCAAAACCAATGTCCTCCTAAGCTGTTTCTTCACATTACATGACTCTTCGTCATACAGCAGAACACCTCTTCTGGGTTCCAGAGCCCAATTTGTAGGGAAAAGAGCACAGACCTGCTCCCTCCCTCCCCCAACAAGTATGTTGTAAAAGTAAAAAAATTAGGGGTGTTTCTTTTGTAAATGGAGTGCATGTGCCTGAGAGGCAAGGAACCAACAGTCTGCATATAAATAAGACAGATCTGTAAAATAGATATGCATGCAAAACTCAAGTTTCTGGAACAAGACCAAAGTCCAGAAACAGCCAGGACTTTCTGTCAAAGTTTACAGTCATGAACACAAAGATAAACAAGGTACAGCAAAACAGATTTGTTATAACACTTCAACAACCACTTTCTGATATTTGGATGACTCTGTGGCTTACAGGTTAGTGAAATTGTTTCACAATGCAATCCTCTATGTTCATCATGGTTGTATCCCCACAGTGGGCTATTAAGAAAAAAAAAGACTTCTCATGGCTTTTTTTGGTAGCGGTAGATCGGTGTGTGGGTTCTGGGGCCCCATTTGGGATCACACAGCCCTCTAACAAGCCCGTCAAACTATTCACCTAATTAAGGTTGTTTCTTTCAAAGTCAAAGTACATCTACCTGAGAGGCGGGGAACCAACAGTCTGCATACACATAAGATCTGTAAAACAGATGTGCACAGAAACCTCAGGCTCTTGAACAAGACCAAAGTCCAGAAGTGGATAAACAGCCTAAGTTTTTTTCAAGGTCTGCTACGAACCCTGACAACCAGAACTTTACAGCTGGCGAACACAAAGAAGAAGAAGAAGACGGTGGCATGAGAGTCATACCGTTGAAGAGACTGGGCCCTCACCACGTAATATTCCCATAGTTAGCAAAGGATATATTGAACAAAATCTCTACTGTTGAGATGACAAATAATTTTATTCTGACATCAAGTGAAAATGACTTAACTCAAATGATATTCTAGATTTAATTTTTTTTTATAAACGTATGACAGCATCCAATGAACATTTTACAAATGCATAAGGCTCGTGACATACAAGTTCGAGCACAAGTGAGTCTGTATCAACACAGCTGTCTTTGCTGCCTAGCGCTGTGAACAAATGTTGCTTTCAGCCTCTTCACAACTAGAAGATGAGGTCCAGATGGATGACTTGCTCACCTAGCAGTGGAGTAACATTATAAGGCCAGGGATCCTCTGAGAAACTTTCTCATTGTAGTGCCTACAGATGTTGGAGAAGGACCAGTAGTCTGGTGGTAGATCTGATAGATACAAAATAACAATCCAGTTAATGTCAGTTGTTTATTTGTAATTGTTTTAGTTATTGTCCATATTCAGGATTCACATAAAAGTTGTGATTTGACATTACAATTTAATTTGACTGATATAAGTTGAAATTTTCGAAGCTTAATTTTTGAGTTTAGTTTCTTTCGGCTTCCACAGACTTCCTAGTACTAAGAAAATTCTTCTTGCCATCTGTATATCTGACTGTTTCTCCATTTTTGTCTATATTGCTCCCTAAATAGGTGTATATTTCACATTACTTATATTTTATTTCAATATATAAACAATAGTTATTGAAAGAAAAAGGTCAATTTGAAAATATTTAAAAAGTAGATTTTATTGAAATGTTTTTTTAAAATGTTTAAACTGGCAAAGTATACTGTATCCTGAGGGTCGATAAATCCATAAAAAAGAGCAAAACTATTCTGAAATTTACACAACCCAAATGTGCACTAGTAATTAACACAAACTTCACTAAATTGTAGTGTATAAGTGGAGTATTCAAGTTTTAAAACATCTTTCCAAAACCAGGGGCTGACATATATGGCAGGCATAAAAGACAACACCCTAGGCGTAGGCCTAACTCAGAATTCTGAGATAAAAATCTTAAAGTCAACTTGTATGCTTCATCAACCTGTATGTTACATCAACCTGTACACTACATCAACCTGAACGCTACATCAACCTTTACGCTACATCAACATGTATGCTACATCAACCTGTATGTTACATCAGCCTTTACGCTACATTAACCAGTACGCTACATCAACTTGTACGCTACTAACCTGTACGCTACATCAACTTGTACATGTATGCTACATCAACCTACACCCAACTTGTACGCTACATCAACCTGTACACTACATCAACCTGTATGCTACATCAACTTGTATGTTACATCAACTTGTACGCTACATCAACCTGTACGCTACATCGACCTGTATGCTACACCAACTTGTACGCTACATCAACCTGTATGCCCTATTTTAAGGTACACTAATGCAAAGCATGTATGTGAAGCAGATAATAAAAAGTGTAATGTATGCTACGGGTAATGTTTGTTGTACAGAATGTAGCCGACACTAACAGATTCAAACACGTACCCTGAACAAATATGGCTGTATATCTTTAAAGCTGGTATCGAACACCGAGCCTTCCTCCTCTCTAGCTGGCATACGTGGCAAGTATTCATGACGATTTATCACATCAATAATGCTGAACACCTTATCCGAAAGCTGCTCAGAAAGTTTGGTTTTGAACTCGGATCGTTCTGGAATGGTAAATTCAGTAATAAAATGTCTCATTATGATCTAATAAAAAAGCATGAAATTAGTTGTGCGTCCTTTACAGGATGCTGCAGAACCTTTCCGAGCATTTTTTGGCTGTTTGTGATTTTACTAGGCAATTTTACATTAATATTCTACTCAAGGTCACATCAAACATAGTGCAGCAGCGAGAGATGGAGGCAGACCAGAAAGAAGCGTGTAGCAAATCCCAACTCAACTGCTGCTTCCATCGTTTGTCCGTACTGCTCAAGAACTTTCTGCACTCGAATTGGACTCATCAGTCATCTTCGTATTCACAATTATTGATCACTATTGAATTTTGATGCAAAGTGGTCTTAATCACTTGTGGTGGACAAACAACAACCTTAAAAGTTGAAACACCAAAACAAAAAATTAAAAGGTGGGTTTTTCTGAGGTCCCACTGATGGGGAAAATAGGAGTTGGAATATCTACTGCCCCCTAACAAGCAGGTTATTTTCTTCCTCCCCATTCACTGACTGGCAGTAGCCGTGGCCGAACTGCTAGACGCTCGACGCGGACCGGAAGGTCGTGGGTTTGCTCCGTGACGGAGCCGGACTATTTTCAACAAATGACCTTGGCTTCCAGGTCGACCCAGCCTTGAGTGGGTACCGGGTGCAGTCCCAGGAAGTAAAGGCGGCCGGCGTGATGCTGACCACATCACCCATCTTGTGCTGATTGGTCTATAAAAATATAGGTCTAGCCCTATATGCCCTATACGCCTAAAGGCGTGGAAAAGGGTCCTTTACTTTTTACTTTTACATTCACTGACTATGGAAAGTTCTGGTTGTTTGTCCACCTCTAGACTTTACTCTAGTTCCAGAACCTCAGTGTTGCGGGTACATCTATTTTACACAACTGGCTTATCTAGATGCAGACTCTTGGTTCCTTGCCTCTTAGGCAGATGCACTCCTACTCAGAAGGAAGCCCACGAGTCTATTCTTGTTTTCCCCCCTCAATGAAGCCTCGGAACACACACAGGGCGACTAATTAGGGGTGTTTCCTTCAAAGTTGGAGTGCATCTGCCCGAGGAACCACCAGTCCACCTACAAATAAGCCAAACCTTCAAACTGGATGTGCACGGAAAACTGAAGCTGTGGAACAAGACAAAAGTCCAGTTGTGAACAAACAACCAAAACTATCAACTGGAATTTACAGCCGGTAAACACTAAGAAGAAAACAAAAAGTAGAAGAAGAACGCACCTACATCATCATTATGTGCCTTGCTAATAACCAGTTACGGTTCACCATTTCACGAGAATCAAAGTGACTCTTGTGCCACTGGTTTACCTTTACATTTAATTCTGATAACAATACAAATTCTTCTTCTGCATTCATCCGAAGATGGTAGGTAAGTAGGTAGGTATTTGTACCCCACCAGGACATCACACAAGCGATAAACACCTGGTGACACAAAGTGCCACCATGCGGATATCACCCGTGGAGAGGAGAAACCCCTTTCAGCCGTGAGGTCATATCTATGGCTAGGCCATATGTATGCCCGGGCTAAATTCAGGGCCCCCGACAGAAGCAAGGGTGGGGCTTCAAACAAAAAATTGCATCTTACATGGGGACGACTTTCATTGATATATTCATCCGAAGATGTAACTGTATTGTGCCCATTTACAGCATAGCAGACATAAGATATTAATTTAATGCTTACCATTTTCATTATGCAGAGTGATCACATCCAGTTTGATGCTCCACACTTCCCATGGAGAACTGTCAGCCTGGAATGGCCACCGACTCTTGTGCTTGTGGTAGAACTCCAAACTGATCTGTTTAATAACAATTATGAAAAAAAAATATAGGTAATGTGGCAGAACACTTATTTACCTCCCTTCTAATTCACATTCCTTAGCTGAAAACTCCAGTGGAAATATCTGGTTGTTCATCTACTTCTGGACTTTAGTCTTGTTCCAGAACCTGAGTTTTGGATGCACATCTATTTCACATATCTGGCTTTTTTGTATGCAGACTGTTAGTTCCTCACCTCTAAGGCAAATGCATCCCCACTTTGAAGGAAACATTATAGTCCACTCTTATGACATGCTTGTTATGGGGCAGTGGGCCTATATGGCGGAGGGTCTACCATAGACGAAATGAATGTTTAGCCCAAAATTGTGTTGATGAAGCTCTGCTGCATGGTGGTGTGGGTGTAATGGTATTGGGAATGATCAGTTTCAACGGAAGGAGTCAATTGGTGCACAATGTAGGAACCTTGAATACGCAACGATACGTCCATGAAATTCTTCAACATGTCCTTCCATTTTGGGATGCCAACAGATATCTTTTTCAACAGGACAATGACAGACCCCATTCTGCACAGCTGACCACGAAGTTCCTGACTGCCAATAACATTCAAACCCTTCCTTGGCCATCCCTATCTGCAGACATGAGTCCAATTTAGCACCTGTGGGATGAGCTGCAAAGATGTGTTTGTTGCCTAAGCGTTGCTCCAGCCAATGGTCGTGATCTGTTCCAGGTATACCAAGAAAAGTGGGCAGCCATCCCACAGGTCCACATCAGATATCTGATCGCATCCATGCCCAGGAGATGCCAGTCACTGATCCACTCAATAGAAGACCAAACACCATACTAACGGGAAAGGCCTATACTTAAAAACTATCAATACCTAGATGCCAAAAAAGGTGTCAATTGATTGGTGGAACCCTAAGGTATTTTTGTGTGAAATTTGGATAATTTCACTTACTGCATTACAAAGATACAGAATGTCAAAATTGTGAGTTTGTTTGTTCCTTTCAGTAACTATGCATTTCTTTTTTGAAAAGTATACTATTCCTTGTGCTATAATTTTTTTTCCAATCTACTGTGGCACTGGATATTACCAAAATACTTCAGCTTCCGAGACAAGATGCTGTATATCGGCCAATCTTTCTTGCTATTTCGGATCTTTTAAAATATTATTTCTTCTCTTCTTTGTCTATTGTATTTGGAGAGTCTTTCTATAGCATTTTAGCTAAAAAGCCCTTATTTTCTTTTAATTTCAATTCCAAATGTTTTATATTCTACATTCAGCTAAAATCAAAGCCATGTCGTACCTGCCCCGAATGTGGTCCTTCACTGGCACGCAAAGTATCCCGAAACTGTGCTATCTCTTTCTTGATTTGAGCATCCAGTTCCTTACTGACTATTTTCACCTGTACAAACATGACAAGAATATAACCTATGATATATGAAAATGAGAACGCAAAAGAGACTTAAAAAAAATAATTTATTATACATTACACAAAATTTACAGGAGAAATGGTTAAAAAAAAAAAAAAAGGAAGGCTTCCTCAAGACAAATGAACACTTAAAACTGGTTACAAAAAAAAAATTAAAGACAGTCAACGTTTAAATGTAACTAGCAGACAGGATCAGAAATGATATCAGGAAAGTTGGGACAAAACCAATACTTAAGTACATCAAGAAACAACAGCTCAAATGGTTTGGACATGTGTCAAGACTACTACCAGACAGTGCACAACAGACAGCCATGTCACTCAGGCATAATGGAAGCAGAACTAGAGGCTGACCATGCAAATTATGGATAGATAGAATATTCGAGGCTGTACATTTCAAAATAAATGTTTGAGGAGATTTCTACGAATATTTTGGTCAAAAAAGATCACAGATGAAGAACTGAGGAGGAAAACAGAATGTGTATCACTGGCAAATGTTATCAAAGTAAGACGATGGAGATGGCTTGGACAAGTTTGCAGAATGCCTTGTGACACTCTGGCAAAAACAGCTCTCCGGTGGACAGCAGATGGAAAAAGGAGATGTGGACGACCTAAGGAAACCTGGAGAAGGACTAGAGAACGGGAGTAGAAGGAATATAAACTGACATGGGACACCATGGGCAGAAAAGCAGCAGACCAGCAGCAATAGAGATCACTTGTGACTGCCTTATGTGTCAACAGTGACATGAAGAGGATATAGATAAATATCAGCATCTACGAAGCACGTACCAAATCGCACATTCGAGGCCACTTTGAAACCTGAAGCCGAAAGGCAGAATAGGACCAGAGAAGAAGAAGAAGAAGTGAGTGTTTTAAGTCTGCAGGCAGTCTGCCTCAAGACAGATGAAAACAGTAAACTGAAAAAACAAAAAACAAAGACACTCAGCACTTTTCAGATTCATTGTCAGAATGATCGAACTTGAAAACTTTGTAATGACTGGTAAGACTGATGGAAAAGAGCAAGGGGAAGGCAAAGAGATAAATACCTGGATGGCTTGGCCATGGGAAACAAGAGCACTGACCTGATTCGTGATTCTGGTGATTATGTGAGATGACAAAATATGACAGTCTATGATTTGACGTGGTACATGATGATGATGAAAAAAATCGTAATTCAAATGGAAATTCAGATTTAAAATGAAAATCAAATACTTAAAATCTATCTTTGCATAGGACTACTGAAAGATACGAAGAAAAAAAAAAAACGGAGTCAGTTGTGGCGTATCCTTTAAAGGACTCCACAAACTAAGCCCAGCTTTTACTGCGTCATGTGGTTTTACTAGACAATGTTATAGGTTCCATAAACGAAGCCCAGCTTTTCCTGTGTCATGTGGTTTTACTAGACAACGTTACAGGTTTAGCAAATTTCTACTGCTTTCTGGATGGTATGACTCTGGTTTAAGTTAGTTGCATATCCTTTAGAAGATATTGCAGAACCAACTCCAGTATTTTTTTTGGCTGTTGCAGTTTTTCTACAAAAATTTTATGTTCATCAGTTTGCCACTGCTTCTGAATGGTCAGCTTTCGGTACCACTGCTGAAACCAATGCAAGTCGTTTTGCAAATCAACCGCAACTGGGATTGAATCTGGCACCCCGGCATTATGAAGCACGCTCACAATGCCTAAGCTACAGATGCTGACTCTAGTACCGCTGTCAAAATAAGTGGGCTGAGTGGTTTCGAGGCATGGTGACCACCTCAAGTACTGGAAGTCCCGTGTTCAAGCATCGGTGTAGGCTGGTATTTTTTCACGTGGACTTCTAGTAATTTTTCCTGGTCTCTGGGTAGTAAGATCGGACGTCCGCGTGTATTGTTGCGCACATAAAAAATTCCTTGGCAAAATCTGGAGTTAGAAATCTACCCAAAGTATTTTCAGAATCCTCGCCGGTGCTACCGAGTTTGTGAACTGCGCTGAAATTCTTCGGACTCAGCGGTAGACTGTTTGTGCTGGCACTTCTGACAGCTGCCTTATGCATTTCATATATAAGCTTGTTGCTGACTTTGCTAAGACTGCAGCCTGTTTCAATTTTTTCAATAGGGGACAGTGATAGGCATTTTGTGTGGTAGCACAAGAATGCAGCAATTATGGGATGTCATGTTTGCCTTGAATGTGGTAATGAGACTAAGTGAATAAAATGATACCAGGGGGGGGGGGGGGGTTGCACAAGGCGGCAAAGAGGGAATATACTAGTTATTGTGGACTTGTGCTTATGGGAGATAAAAGGCAGAAGAAGAAGTATAGAATACAATTCTCTTCATGAAAACAATAACTTACATATGTAAAATCAACAAAGTCACAGTCAACATCCTGTGCAGATATGGAACCAATGGTGAAATTTCTGTCCTTGTTATAATTATACTGAAAATGGAAGGAAGAAAACATGAGGAAATCACAGGACAAAAGTTAAAAATACAAAACAAATACAAAACTATCATTTTATTAACAGGTAACAACGATTATTAGACGTACTGAAAACAATAAATGGTAATAGCCCACAAGCTTGACATAAGAATCTGCAATTACAACAATTTAATATACAGTGCAGTGCTCTTTTGACCCAGCAGCTTCTGTATGGGGTTTTAAACACGTGATAGAGTTGAATTTAATGGATCAGAAAAAAAAAAATAAGAATTACTCAAACAAATAACGATAAACAATAATTTATTAAGTGTCTGTCTTTTGATCCGGCAACTTCTGCAGCATGCTTTGATATCTTCTTACATGCCTGTTGGGGGGAGGGAGGGGGGGGGGGGGCATTGCGCTGATTCATTTTCCCCACAAAAATGGGACCCGGACCCCCCCACAAGGAGTAAACAATCAAGAATGGGTCCTACTGATTGGCACCTCTCCCTCTTTCCAGATGATAGTGTTATATTGCACTATGAGGAGATATGGAACTCACAGCCCATGGTGATGGCGAGTATGACTACCAAGACCCGCACAGGTTAAGAAAAGTCTTCCAAGGATTTAGTATGGGGAGCTGCGCCGGCTCTCTAGTGCAGTTGGCTAAACCAGCTGAGTGGCGACCAGGTGACAAACTCCTTGTGGTCCAGGTTCGCTCCCGGGTAGTCATCAGAAAAGCCACATATTCCCCAAATTTACGGTACCTATCATGGAATCAAGGCCGGAAGGTTGCGATATCCATAGTACCGAGCCAAAGGGTTTACAAACTCATGGTTTCTGATCTTTAAAAAAAAAAAAAATTGCATGGGATTTTAGAACCGTTGTTGTCAACATTTGTGTTTAGTGGGTTTCTTCTCAGACACTCAGTTCTCATCCTTTTGCAATAATTTCTTCCTTCATTCTCATTCCTTTCCTGATGTGCCTCCCTCAATGCAACACGTCCATGGCATTTTGTTCCCACGAGTCCACCTCAATAACTGTATCATTCACGTCCCATTTGCACACATCTTTATATCTTAGTAGAGGTCGGCCTCAGCATCTTCTACCATTATGCGTCCGACTTAGGAACCATAAAAACACATAAGAAAAATCTTTTAAGCCAAAATTCTTGACTGATAAAGATGGCAGAAACAAATTTACTTTAAAAAAAAAAAATTAATTGTCTGTACCTGAACCTGCAGATTACACCTGGCTGGTAAAGCTATTATCGATGCAGTAATTATAGCTTCTATGAAGGTTGAACGGGGTATCTGCAATCAACATTTAGATTTGTAAATCTCAGGATGGTGTGGTAAACCTTTAGATAGCAGCCGAGAGGGGACAAACTGATTAATCGATCGATTACTACAAAGACAAAACTAAAGAACACATCACAAAAATACCAGATCTCAATCATAATCAAGGCTTAGAATAAAAAACAGGCAGAACGAGATCACATTTTGTTCCCTTCTCAGCCCCAAAGAAGCAGGCAAGCATCTATTTAAGGCTTCCACATTCATTTTCCCCATCAAACATTGTAATGCAGTGGGTATAACTAATATGTTGAATTAAGAATCGACAGCATAGTGCTTGGGACACCCCCAGAAGCGCCCCGTCCCCATCTCCAGCAGCAAATGGAGAGTGTAACTTATATGAAACATTATAATACTAAAAGTGTGACTAACATAAATACTTTTTACAAATGTGAAAACCACAGACAGGTGGTTAAAAACAGCAGTAACATACTTTGCCTGTAGTTCTGTGTAGTAAGATTGTGTGGAACAATGCTTGCACCACTTCTTCAATCTGTCTGCCTTCTACAGTCTAAGCAGGAAGAAAATCGAATAAAGCAAAAGCAATTAAAACATAGAACTGATGGCATGGATTAAAATTCATCCATTTTTTTTTTTTTGTTACACAAGGGAAGCGGTGGTGGTATGGGGGAGGTGAGGAAAAGGGGGAGATGACAAAATAGATCAAAAGAGAGAGAGAGAGAGAGAGAGAGAGAGAGAGAGAGAGAGAGAGAGAGAGAGAGAGAGAGAGAGAGAGAGAGAGAGAGAGAGAGAGAGAGAGACAGACAGAGGGTGGAGAGAAAGGGGGAGAGAGACAGAGAGAACATACTTGATTTTCAAATGGTCACACATGCTTGTCTCACATTTAGTTCTTTCAGGCATCCCTCTCTCACACCACAATTGTGTACCATCTAGAAATATATGCAAGCCATACATAACATAAACAGTTAGCACCACATTACCCAATATGCTTTCAGGTGTTGAAAGCAGCAGTTATAAATAATATTCAAATTTCCTGTGTAGGTTTTGGGGGAGATAGAGGAATAGACCTCCCCCACCCCTCAAACAGCATGTTGTAAAAAGCAACTAAATTATGGGTGTTTTCTTCAAAGTCGGAGTACATCTGCCGGAGAGGAAAGGAATCAACAGTCTGCATACAAATAAGCCAGTTCTGCCAAATGAATGTGTACACACACACACACAAAGGTTAGGTTTAAGTTAGTCTCCACAAACAAAGTAGGTCACGTTTCATTTACAAGTTTGTTGGGCTGGTCTACTTTCCTGCAGGTTACGGGTGTGCTGCTCTGTTGTTTGCTTTCTGAGTTGTCTCGCATTTACATTTTTATTCCGAGAAAGAGAATGCCTGTGACATAGGTTGCAGCACTCTCATAGGAGAGTTGTCTAGGACCCAGTTTGTCCATGTTTTTGGTGTGTTAAAAGCGCTGGTGTGCTGAAATATACAACACACAAAATCATTGGCATTGCAGAACAACTCCCGTAACCTTGTGCCAAGGTCATATGGCTCAAGGTCTACCAATCAGAAGTAAGCTAGTGTGTATATGGGAAGGATCTGAGGAGCAAAACATTACTTTTACCAGAAAAAAATAAAGTTTTGGAACAAGATAAAAGGTTAGAAGCTAACGAACAACCAGAACTTTCTGCCAGAGTTTACAGCCAGTGAACACGAAGAAGAAGAAGAAAATGTCCAAGCAATAGTAAAGGACGCTTAAAACACCACCTACATGACTGTCGTGTGGAATACACATTTTTATGCCACTCAATGGGTGATGTGGTCAGCATCACGGCTGCCGTGTTTACTTTGAAAGACATTGCCTGGAACCCATTCTGGGCTCTGCTGACACATGGGAGTCAATGTAGCTTTTATGGCAATTTGCACTGACACAGTTTCAAACCCAAGATCTTCAGGCAAGCATCTAGCCACAGCATTACTGTGGCTCTTTTAATAATATTGAAACAGCAACAATTTACTTGCCAGTTCCATAATCTGTGATCTTGCATTCATTTTGTTTATTTAATAAAACCAACAAATAGCTTCTTTAATAAATGTATCCTTGTTGTCAGTGTCTGCAAAAGATTTAAAAAAAAAAGATACTTTATTTCTTGTATAAAAACACACACACACACACACATATTGAATCTTGATATTTAAACAACACTTTTTTTATGTTATTCATAAACTAATGGAGCACAGGCCTTCAGCCAAATTACCCCACCAAGCCCTGTGTATTCTTGTTAACGTTTTTTTTTTAACGTATCCAGAAACCATGAGTTGTAAACCCTTTGGCTCGGCACTATGGATATCGCAACCCTTCGGCATTGATTCCATTATAGGTACCGTTAATCTGGGAGAAATGTGGCTCTTCTGCCTACCCCCGGGAGTGAACCCGGACCACAAGGAGTTCGTCACCCGGCCGCCGCGAAAGTCAGGTTTAACCAACTTCGCTAGAGAGCCGGGCTTGTTAACGTTTAAATTGGTTACCTATGGCAGTTGTTCTCAAGTGGTGGTCCACCTACCCATGGGGTCCACACAGCACACTTAAGAGATCTGGGATATCATTTAGAAAAGAAAAAATCAATCCTCTTTGTTTTGCAATTCTAACATACATTCACTTCTTTTTTTTTTTAATGACCATTAAAAATGTGTAAATGGATCTCTTAAGCTGGATTTTTAATTCTGCACCAACCGATGGCACTCAGCTCCTCTATAGCTTCTAACTTTAATATTTGATGAATTTGGATTATTTATTAACCCTTTTAGCACGGGAAGTTTTTCAGATGTCTAACCAAAAACACGGAGCATTTTTTCAGTAAATTTGGTTATTACTTTATTTAATTTTTTGGGACACATTTCTGTTATTCTGACCCCCATGAAATTACATATCTATTTGAAGGATATAGATTGAAGTTCTTGATTTTCACAATATCGTTAAAATTAATTGATGTATATGCAAATTATCTCATTTGCATATCTAAAAAATATAAAATTAAAATGTGAATTTTTATCTTCAATGCATGAAACATATAACAAATTTGTAAGCAATTCAATAGTCAAAAACAGGTATATATATATATATATATATATATATATATATATATATATATATATATATATATATATATATATATATATGAAACAGCAACAATATCTTTAGGTGACATGTGTTTTTGACCATCAGTCAGCACTAGAAATGGATGTGCCGGAGTGTCAACACCTTTGGGTGGATATACCCTGAGCCATGGTTGGGCTGTCGTCTGAACACAACAGCGTCCCCATCTGATTCCCCACTATTACTACTAACACTAGATCCTGCATCAGTATCAATAGAATTAGTGTCATCCCTTGATTCAGATGTTTTATCAACATCAAGTTTAGGGGCAGAAACATACGAGTCAGACATACTTTTAGCGGTTCAGGTCACTATCTAAAAAATTGTAACAACAATTTTCACTTCGACACCAAACACTAGAAAGTCGCCATGTGTAAAGCTAATACAGCAGTGAATATGAATGAATCACTTTCAGAGTTTCAATCAAAATAGCAGATTTCTTAGCGGTTCGAGGCGAAACACGATCGGGCCGATGATCGGCCATTCGGTGTTTTTGGCCAGACATCCGCCAGCCGATAATCGGCCCGTCCGTGCTAAGAGGGTTAAACTGTGATCTATTTGATTATAAATTATCTTGTCATATGATTGCCAGGTTTGTTTATCTATATCTTTTCTTTGAAATGTTTATTTCTTTTCTTTGAAATCTGGTGCTGCTTATCTTTCGTCCTTTGGCTACTACTGGGAGGTTGATTAATGAAATTAATCTCCATCCATTACCATTTGAATTTGTATGTGGGTTTTCCATACCTGCTACATTTTTAATAGGTGTTTTCTTTTTTCTAATTTTGCAATGAATTCTTTAAAGACAATCAGTACATTCAGTTTTTGGGTTTCCTCTATGATATTCTCAAGGCAATAAAGGATTAGTTAGTACAGGAAAAGGCCAACTGGCACTGACTGGCATTGATGGTCTGATGCAACATCACAATAATAAAATAAACTATGATAGGTATTTTGTGTACAGCATAATAATTTATCTATTTCAATATTAAAAAAAAAAAAAAATTCCAAACTGCAAACTGCATGCGTTTATTAAAAAAAATCACTGGCTATATTCGTAATTTACTAATTAAAAACAATCGTCATCGTCGTCAGTGCCACAAATCGCTGGCCGACTTTTTTAATAAATGTTTACCTTTTTTGTTTTCATCATTTAATATTTAACTGGCTTAGCGTTAACCATAAATACAGACAACCAGGTAATATGTTAAACAAATCAATGTTTACTTATTAAAACAATGGGATTATTCTTCAAATAACTCTAATAAACGCACCAGCAAAGTACCCTGCCATAGACAAGTTATCTTTGTTGCTGACGAATTTTCTGTTTCACCATTTTTAAGGAGTTGCCAGGTTTTTACCCACAAGGTTTAGTAAATACTTCACATGACAAACGGAAGAGTTAATAAAAATAATATTAAATGTAGCTATAGCATTTATTCTTTAGGTAAACATTTTAATAATTGGGTTAATTAAAAACTGTTATGGAATTGCTTTAGAAAAATGAATTAAGAGACTGAGTGCTTAGAATTTGAATTAGGTGGAAGTGACAATGTGGCAATAATATTTCAACAGCTGTTAAAAGTCAAGGTCGCCTCTGTCAATGAAACGAACTGGACATGTTCATTATCATCATGTAGTAGGTCCTTTGCAGAACCTCGCTCTCATCACGGTTTGCCTGAAAGAAACTCGGTCTCTCGCCAGCTCTCCCGCCTCATGCACTTTCATACTCAAGGTGTCACTCATATCCTGTGCCCATCTTCGTGTTGGTCGGCCCTCTGCCCTTCCTTCCTGGTAACATGCCTTTTGCTATAATTTTTTCCAATCCGTCGTGGCGCTTGATATGACCAAAATATTTCAGCTTCCTGGACAAGATGCTGTTTATTAGCCAATCTTCCTTGATGTTCACATCTTTCTAGGTGTCATTATTTCTCCTCTTTTTCGTACAAGATATTCTGAGAATCTTTCTATAGCATTTCAGCTCAAAAGCTCCCTATTCTCTTTACGTCACATTACTTCAAGCATATTATTATATTTATTCGCCATTCCACACATTTATTATTATTATTATTATTATTATTATTATTATTATTATTATTATTATTATTATTATTATTATTATTCTGAATGGCATATAAATGTAAAATATTCAATGCATTTAATAATATACTTGAAAAACTAATATTTAAAAAAAAAATTCCTTTACATGGTTTTAAAGGCGGTAACCATGGCAGACAAGTCAAGCACAGTCTTCCTCCTCTGGACGACTGACCATGCTGATGATTCTGTCCCCTTTAGGCAGACAAGGTCCATTTCCACCATGGAATATTCCCCTTGCTTATTTGTGGAAATGTTTCCCTTTAGGTGGATAATGTCGTGTGCTAAACTCATTATTCTGTTCAATTGTGTCAGAGGCGTGATCGCCTACGCCAGCCGTAAAGGCGCTAAAGGATGATGAAGATGACAGAGATGAGTGCAAAAAGCACACTACATGACGCGTGAGACAAGGGTTTCTTGAGGTTAGCAGGCGACAGCGTTCTTCACGGTATTGTAAGACCGCGGCCTTCTTTATTTATAGGCCAACTGGGTTAATATACAGCCGGACGTGGTAAGAACCAAGCGTGGCTAGCCACTGAGCAGAAGGTTAACCCGTGCCGAGTCAGTGCCTCTCAGTCAGTCTCAGTGTAAAGATGTGTTTGTGCATGAGTTGTTCCAGTCCGGTGTGTTGTTAACAAGGTGTTTTATTCTGTTAGAGCTCATGTGAATTGTCAAATGGTTTGGTGGATCGTGAGTTGTACTTTTGGGAATTCTGTCAATAATGTCTAGAATGGACTTGTGTCGGCCCATGTGTTGTGGGTTCGACAGTGTTGCTGTTATGGAACACCTGGCTGATGGATTTCTGTAAGGACACGGAATGTGCCGGGGACCCTTGGGCCTAAACCAACGTGTAGTTCATTGCTTTTCTCAAGATGAAATCAGACCACCCAAACCACTTCATGAGGAATTATTCCAAACTCAGAAAGAATAGATTTAAAAGAGTCAACTCGTGAATGGGATCATGTTGCAGACGCCATCCAACAGGTATGCCGCCTCACACGTTTATCTTGGAGGTGAGTGGATACCCATGCCTGCTGCTTGAAACATTAACATTACAGTCCATACCACACTTGAAAGAAGCAGATTCCTGGTATAGTAGATATGACAGAGTGCTGATTGATAAAAATACAGAATAATGCTGTAGTTTACACTGATGGATCGTTAATTCGGGACAAACTAAATGCTGTTTGATTATTTGCACATCTTGTTTTTCCTGTGAATGTAGAGTGTCGACCAAACCTTCTGGTCCCTACCAGCTGTATCCTTATCTCCAGACAATAATGATCTATTCGTGCCTCTGCATTGTTTACTTGCTCCAAAGGGCCTTGACCACTTTTGGCTTGACATGCATAAACTCACCGCCCATTGTTACAGAACCACCCAGTCAGTATGTCTGTTTATTTCCTATCACCCCTGCACGCCCTGGAGAAAATGTCAAAAGAATGCACAGAAACTGAACAGATGGGTGCCACTCCACATAGGGGCATGCCCATCTCCACCTTTTTGTTTTTTTTTTTTTAAATATTGCTTTGTGAGTCGGTCGGCGTCTGTGAACGCTCTTCGTAATGCCAAGTTTCATCCCTGCTGCGGAAGATTTGTCTTGCGCTGATTTCGACAGTGGTACTGAGAGCTGACCGTTGAGTGGTAATGGTAAACTACTGAACGTGAAATTTGCCTAGAAAAACCACAACAGCCAGCCAATAAATGCTGGGGTTGATTCTGCTACGTCCTGTGAAGGATACGAAACTAACTTTTTGTGTGTGAGTCGGTTACAATCACGACATGTTTTGAGAAAAGA